GTGAAGTCCTTTGATGCTTCTGGTTTGGTCAAGAGTGGAAGGAACTTTTTTAATTATTTTGTGAGGTCGTTGATTGGGTTGGAGCGGAGAATGTTGTTCATGTTGTGACCGATAATGCATCCAACTAAAAATTGGCATGGACAATGATACATGAGCATTATGGTCATATATATTGGACTCCTTGTGCTGCTCATACCGTTAACTTGATCTTGAGTGACATTGGATCTATTCCTCATGTTAAGAAGCTTGCTTATCGAGCTACCAAGGTCTCCAAATTTGTTTACAATCATGGTCCAATTTATTTCTAGTTGAAGACAAAGGAGAATTGGAAAGAAATAGTGAGACCTGGTGCTACTAGATTTGCTACTACATTTCTGAGTTTGCAAAGTACTTTTGAGCACATGCATGATTTGGAGGAACTGGTGATTAGTGAGTTCTTTAGAGAAAGTGATCTTTCAAGTACTAAGGATGTGAAGGCAATTGTACTCGATCAGCAGTTTTGGGCTGATTGTGACTTCATTGTTAAGTTGACAACTCCAATTGTTAAGCTGCTTCGAGTTGTAGATTCAGATAGTAAACCAGCAATGGGGTATGTGTATGATGGGATGACTAGAGTGTCAAATGCTATTAAGACTGTTTTTGGAGATAAAGAGGAGATGTACAAACCGTACATGGATATCGTTAATAGGAGATGGGATAAGCACTTGAGCCGTGATTTGTTTATGGCAGCTCACTATCTTAATCCGGCTATTAAGTATGCTGATGATTGGACAGAGGATAGGGAGGATACATTTGGACTTCTTAATCTTCTTGAGAACTCGTCTTTATGTCCTGATAATAGTGTGGTGGTGGCGGAGATGAATTTGTATGCTGAAAAGAAAGGAAACTTTGGGAGGAAGATGGCAATAGATTCTGCACAGAAACAACAACCAGGTAATTGATATCATTTGCATTGAAGTTCTTCTATTTATTACAATATTTAAGAAACTAACATTTATGTTTTATATGTAGATAAGTGGTGGAAATGGTTTGGCATTGATGCTCCAAATATTCAGAAGTTGGCTATTCGAATTCTTAGCAAAACTGCTGCTTCTTCTGGTTGTGAACGTAATTGGAGTGTCTTTGAACGTGTGCATACCAAAAGAAGAAACAGATTGCAGCATAAAGTGCTTAGTAACTTGGTGTTTGTGAATTACAACTTGAGATTGCAAAATAGTTAATGATTTGAATTATAGAACTTGTGTGTTGAATTCATACTTTCGATGCTTACTATTGAATTGAATTATTTTATGTTTTCTACTTTGTTTAGGGAGTATTATACCAAGAATAAAAAAATATTCATATGATCCCATAAGCCTTGAAAGCATTGATTCTAACGTGTAAGTCCCACATTGTTTTTCGTTTTATTTTGATGGCCTTTTTTCTTGCCTCTTTTGGCCTTTTCTTTGATTTTTTTTGTGCGGGAGTTACTTACTTTGTTATGCCCCCATACATGGTGTCATTTTGATTGTTCTGATTTTGTGCACCAACTTCAAAGAGTTAGGAGATTCGTCGGTATATCAATCTATGTGAGTGGCCCTTCTTGTTGGCTAGGTGACTTGGACATTCCTCTCCGGAGGGAGACATATTACTAATGTCGTGCCTTTGTTGTACTCCTTTGTCTTTTGGAAGCGAGGGTTTCACGAGGAGTTGACTATTATGATGTCGTCATCTTGCTCATTATGGATCATAGTTCGACTACTCGAGCTTGTATCTAGTTGTGTCCTACTTTGGTAGAGATTGGTTATGGTAGTGACAAGCTTCTACAAGTAGCCTGGTGTCGTATCTTCGTTACACCCTTTGACTATTTAGCTCGCATAATTTATGGACTCCCGTGGGGTGTTTATACTCTCAAGTTTAGTAAATTGAGCAAACTTTCAACATTAGCGGGGTGCTCAAATTCATGACACCGATAGGGTGTTTAAAATCACTCAGTACTAGTGGGGTGCTTATGGTTTCTTGATATGAAAATCTTGTGGCTCAACTTGTAAACATGAAATGCATTTTAAGGATCCCATTTCTAGAGAAGAAAAGTTAACTTTTAAGATTTGGAAGAGATAATCATTATTTTGAAAAAGAATCATTGATGCAAAATCCTTGATCAAGATTGGTATTAGTCACACAATGTCCCAAATGAATGGAAATGCAAATGACATTTTATTCTTCATTATCAAAGTAAAGGTTGATACATTGATTAAACATACTAAAGTATCTCGAGATTTATTTATTTGCTGTCACTCTTGAATCGAGCTTTGTCTACTGACTCCCATGAGGAGATTTGTTGTTGTCGGGATGATCTTGATCTCCTCCAAATTTCAACCAACCAGCATTCCCCATTTGTTGCACTTTTGTCTTCAGTCTCCTACAATCCTTAATTGAGTGTCTTGCTACTCCAGAGTGGTAGTCACAATGTTGCTCTGGCTTATACCAAATTGGATGGGGAGGTTGTATCTGTTGGCATGGTATAGGAGCAATCAAATGACTTTGGACTAATTGTGGAAAAAGCTCGATATATGTAATGGTAATGGGATTGATTTGAATGGTTTTTCTGTATCTCCCACCACTGTTTTGGTTTTGTGCATTTGGTTGTGGGGTCTTGAACAATAGAATTTGGATTCCTAGTTGTGGGGTGAAGTTTGGTTGCTGCATTGCCGGTATATTGTTTGTGACATGTGAGTGAGCTTGATTGTTTTTAGGTGAGTGACTACATATTCTTCCTTTTGATATTTCACTTCGAATGAATCTCTCTCTCTTGTCCAAGTTTGCCATGCTTTTTGGAGTCTTCTACAATTTTCACTCTGCCGTGTTGTTGGTATAAGTTTTGGCCATCAGATGACACATCATTATCTTTGATTTTGAGTGCCTTCCCATTGTTAGTCAATATGCTCAAGATCATGCTAACTTCTTCTTTCATGCCTTCGGGTCCCATCACCCTTCTTTAGATCTCTTTCAATTCCTTATGAATTGACTCCATACTAAACTCAGCCTTGGATTTGGTTGTGTACTCAATGGGTTGACTTGTTCTTGTGGATGAGCAACTTTAGAAAATCCTTGATTATGATTTAATAATGTTAAATTGTGTCATGCGACTAAAAGAGATGTATGTGCGAGATTGATGCTTATGCTAATGATGTAAATGTGAAATAATTTTCGGTGGATACATGTCTATTTAATAAAAGTAAAATTAGAATGATTAGTGTGAATGAAAGAGGAAATGATGTCGTAATGAGTTTAAAATTCCTTCACACATATAATCAAATTATATCATTCACGAATAATTGAAAAAGCACACTTTACCCGACATAAGTAAGTTATGAACTTATCATAATATAAAATCTTTCATAAACTTTTGAATTATTGAGGTAAACCTAGGGTTTTTCGGCAGCATAACGTTGTGTTATTGGGTAGGCTCTGGGATAAGTTGCGGTTTAGGTAGTTTCTAGGTAAACTATATGCTGGATAGGGATCTTAAAGAATCAGGATCCCAAGTTGTACCACACTATGACCCTCTCGAGTTTAGCGTGGTACCTCAAATCATCCTCGGATTTGAGCTCAACCTGGTTGGGAAGTTTCGCATTTCCCCTACTATTGTAGGAGTCACACTACTTTCTACCTATTTTTACAAGGATAGCTCGGGAATAGAGCTCTTATGCATGAATGCAAACAATTAAGTACAACAGAAATTTAAAGCACAAATAATGTAGTAAACATATAACACTCATTAAGAAAGTAAGAAAATGCTTATCGATTGTTAATGTAGTTTCACTCTCTTTAGTTCCCCAGCTGAGTCGCCACTGTCGCAACCTCCCCTCCAAAATCGGGGGATCCGTCGCGTCACGTTCGGAGTCCCCATCGTCCACGCTTTGGGGTGGGTCGAACACCCATTCCGGTTTTATTATTTAGGTTAAAACCAGAAATCTGGACTGCAAAAGTTTTAAATTTTCTAGGTTCGGGAGTACAGTTACGTGTGGGGAAGTGTATTCACACCCCACAACGCCCCCAAATGGGTACTACTTGGATCGATAAGCTTATTAAAGATTGGGTGTGTTATTAATCGCAGTTTATTTGGCTTCTTTGTGTATTTACTTGTCACATTTAATTACTTTTAGTTATATTGAGTGTATTTTTTTTAAAGTCCAATCGGAAGATATGATTAGCGTCAATTTTGAATTATTGTATTTATTTCAAAATTTCAAGTCTATTAACATAAAAATTGTTTTTCGATTGGTTGGACTCGAACCTATTGGTTGCCTACGTACACGAGTTAATCGGGATCAAAGTCCACATAGTTTGTTTTAAAATGATTTGTTTTGTAGAAAGTAACTAAACACGCTCTATTGACTCGTGATTAAATTTTGTTATAGACCTTTCGATGAAGGCAAATATTTTGATTTTTTTTATCTTGTAATTGAGTAGCTTATAATTTTTAAAATAATTTGGCTTAATAAGTAATCACAGTCTATTGACCGTGATTTCGTATTAAGACATCTTTTAGGGGAAAAAGAGATTTATGATATTTAGCACATTTTAATTATTTGAGTTACGGTGTGATATTGGACCTTGAAGATATACTACGATATTTCAATTAAATGATTGATGATATTTGATATAATTTGGTCGAGAACAAATATCACGATCTATTGATCGAGATTTTGTATGAAGGGAATTTCTAGGAAACAAAACAAGTATGTGTAAGAAAAGAAGCCCGAACGAGTGTATTCTTCAAAGTTTGAAATATTTAGAAGTAATCGTAACTTGGTCGAACCAAAGATCTTAACAAGATTAGCTGGCGTTAATTTCACGTATTAAGCTTAAACACAAAATGAAATGAGGGAATCAAAGTTTCAAGTACGATGATATGGCCTAGAGGCTAATTGCTCTGACCTCAGAGTGGCTGCAGGAGGGTAGTTTGGACTTTTTTTATCGTAGGGGTATAAATTCGTCTCTAAGACGAAATCCTAACCTAAATCGGCCAAACGGCCGTCTCTCTCACCTGTTCCTCTCGTTTTTCTCTTCCACCATCCAGAACTAGACCCAACCCAAGAAAACGACGGAGACAAAAAAAATACAGAGAAACCCCTCTCTCAATCTGCTTTCTTCCTCTCTCTCTCTCTCTCTCTCTCTCTCTCTCTCTATCTATTTCTTTTTGATCCTCGATTCTTCTGCCACTCAATGTTCCTCTACTCAACCTTTTTCTAATTCTGGGAATAACGAGAGGTAAAGGAAAGAAAGAAAGAAGGTGACAGAACGGCAAGAACCGAGACAATCCCTGCCGGCGACGATGACGTTTGAATATCGGGTAAAAGTTCTTGCCCTGCATGTCGGTTTTTTGGGGACTTCCATCGATTGTGATTGGATTTTAACCCTTTCTTCTCAGATGTTTTGTTACGAGGGAAGGGAAAGGGGACGTCGGCGACTGTTGCCGCGCCGGCAACGAGATCCAAAAGGGCAGAGGCTACTGCTCTGATTTCGATTTACGGGTGAACTTGGCACGGGAGAAGGACGGAGATGACGTTGTCAGCGACCACAACCGTGGCGTTTGATTGACCACCGCTGGTGGTAAGTGGTTCTCTAATGTTTTTTTGTTGTTAATGCATGTTATAGATCTAGGGTTTCGAAGTTTCGTGCGAGAAGAGGAAGGATGGAAGTCGCCGCCGACCATCGACGAGAAGGACCGGCTTACGACAGGATTTCAGGTGGGGTTTTCTCATTTGATTAGTTTTTCTTTGGTTTTGGTCGTTTTTGAACTTTCTTTCCCTATTTTACGTGTTTCTATTTTTGGGGGTTTAGACGAGGATAGGAAAACAGAAAACCGCCGCCGGCAGTGTGGGATGGTGACAGGCGACTTCACCGTCGACGATTGCCGCAATGCCGACGGCAGCAGAATAGGGTAAGTTCCTTTTCTTTTTTAAATTTGGTCTAATTTGGATTCGTGATGATTCTGTTTAGGAATGTTTCGATTAAAAAAGGATTGGATTGCATTTTAGTTCTGGAAATTTGTCGATGCTTATGTGTTCGAAACAAGAAATTTTGTGTTTTGTTTGTGGTGATGGTTTTGATGATCTGAAATTATTGGTTTGAAATAAGGTTTGGATTGGGTACTATGCAAACTGGAGTTTTTGTAGATTAGTTTGAAGTATTTTTTATAACCTACCATGTTTTGGATGTTAGTTTAATGTAACTAGAGATGGAAAATGCTAAACAAACTCAAACAATCAATGCTAGAAAAGAAAGCAAATCTTCTTTTTTTTTTATCACAATATACTAAACATGACAAATCATAAATAACTGATTAAATTAATCATAGATTTATCTTTTCATTTATTAAGGTTGTTATAACCATCTTATAATTTGCTTGGAGCATTGGTTTGGATTCCTCTTTTAAACTAAAATCAGTTAGCTTGAAGTTGCATGGAATGGATCGATTTTTTGCTTAAAAGGTTTCCTTGGGTGTATGAATGGTTGTGAAATGACTATGGAAGAAGTAGATGTACCCACCTTTAACTTGATGTCCGATGAAGTGGCTGTTATGCTGCTCCCCTTTCCCTTTTAGCTTGCTAGACTTTCCGTTTGTAGTTTTCTTTTTATTGTTCTTCACTTGCTTTTGTCTCTCTTTTTGGTTCTCGACTTCTGGTTCTTTTCGTGTTTGTGTTGGTGTATGGGTATCTTGAGGAGGAAGGAAAGAAGAAGGTGTTGGTAATCTTTTTTCTTTTTTTCTCTATGTAAGAAAGGAAGAAACAAAATGTCTACCAGTATGGTTTCCGCCGCCTATGGCTTTTTTTGAGTTGGTAAGTTAAAGAAGAAAAGGGTGGAAGAGGATTTTCCTCTTGGATTCTGCCTGTGTGTGGTCGAGAAAAGGGGAAGTGATTTCTTGTTGTGATTCTTGTACCAGCAACGAAGAAGAAAAAAAAGAGTAACCAATGAAGCTTTTTTTTTTCTGCAGAGTTTTCTTTGAGGAGGAGCCGAAGAAGGAGAAGAAGAAGCCAAGAGTCCCCTTTTTTCGTTCTACTGTTTGAGTTGTGAGAAGGAAGAAGAAGAGAGGTTGTCTCTATGTTTTTCAGCAGAGTTTAGGAAGGTTGAGTCCCCCTTTAGCAGCAGTCCAAGGTGTTATTTTATAGGAAAATATCAGCTTGGGGAGCAAGCTTGCTGTAAGGCCCTGGGTAGAGTAATCTAGCAAAATGGACTTTATTGAGGAGGAAGAAGAAGGAATTACAGATGAGGAAAGGTGGCGTGCTATTACAGCTATCTCTATCTAAGAATTGGTAAAGTAGTTACAGCTTGATTGGTCAAAGATAGATGATTACAGAGAGATCTCCTTCCTTTTATACTTGACTTCACTTTACACGTCACTCTATACTTGACTTCACTTTACACGTCACTCTGCCAGCTATCGCCGGGTTGTTACAAACCCTCTCCCTTTAGCAACAGCTTGTCCTCAAGCTGGGAAAGCGAAGAACTGTACTTTGAAACTGGAAAAGTCCTCCCATGTAGCTTCCTCTGATGTTTGATATGTCTATTGAACCAACACTTGTGTCACATCCCGATTGTCCTGGTTAACAAACCGGAGTGCTAAAATTCGAGCAGGGGCCAGTTTCAAGGAGCCATTGTCATCCGCGGCAGGCAAGTGGAGAGTAGCAGGAGGAACAATAGATCTGCAGAGCTTGAGCTTGCTTAACACCTTGAAAGGCCCAAAATAACGTGTCTTCCAACCACAGACCTCTGTCGATAAGGTTGTAGACGAAGGTAAACCCAGTCCCCAACCTGCAAAACACGCTCTGATCTTCTGTTTGTACTGTGATTTGGCAATGTTGTGAGTAAGGAATTGGACTCGTGGCTGCTGAGTGACCACCCTCTCTTCAACAGCCCAACAGGTGTAGGAGTGATGGAACCAAGACCGAAGAAGGAAGGGGGGGACCCGTATAAGGCTCCAAAGGGAGACTGCTGCAAACTGACATGATAATGGGTGTTGTGACACCATTCTGCAAGTGTTAATCAATCCAGCCAATCCCGCTCGGGGAGATATTGTTGCGAATTCGATATCCCTGAAATCTAGAAAGGTCAAGGACACAACAGCCATGGCAGCTTCATTGATAGCTACTTTCTTCCAAGTCTTAGTGCTTCTGTCCTTTCTATCCAACATTCCTCTCTCTTCTATTTGTGCAGCTTGTAAAAAGTCATCAGTGGTAATCTCATTTCTGCCATCACGCATCATGTTAATGGCCGCAACTTCAATTATGTTTGCAAGCTCAACACCGACCATCCCATCAGTCATACTAGCTACAGCCATGTAGTCCACATCCTCAGCCATAGGCTTCTTACTAGCATGAACCTTAAGGATTTCCATGCAAGCTATGCGACCAGGTCTAGGGATGTAGATTTTCCTGTCAATCCGACCGGGACGCACAAGTGCTGGATCTAGAATATCTTGTCTATTTGTGGCAGCAATGGTGATCACGTCACCTCGCCCTTCAAATCCTTCCAGGCATACTAGGAGCTGGTTCAGAGTAGCATTACGTTCTTGCCCACCAGAACCATTAATCAGACCACGTTCTCTTCCAACAACATCCAATCCCTCAATGAAGACCAATGATGGAGCATTTTCCCTTGCTTCTTGGTTAAGTGATCGAACACGAGAAGCGCCAACCCCAATACATATTTCCACAACTTGAGAAGCAGAAGTGGAGAAGAAAGTGACGCCTGCCTCGCCAGCCACAACTTTACTTAGTTGGGTCTTCCCAACACTAGGGGACCCGCAAAGAAGGATTCCGCCTGGAATCTTAACTCCTCTCCTCCGATACATTTCGCCAAGAGTAAAAAACTTCAAGCCCAGATAAGGCTTAGGCAGTTCTGGTTTCTTAACAGGAGGTGTGTAAGCATAGCAATAGTCCTTATATGGCTCCTTAAAGCAAGGACAGTTGCCCCTCCCTGTAGAAACCACACAATTCCCACAATAACCATGACAGAGTTGAACACCGTAATCCCATTCAGAGTCCCTCAATTGAGTGTGGCAGTACCAAAATTCAGCATCATACATTGCAGGGAAGAAAACTCCAATAGAAAAAGTATTACAACTGGTGCCAGTGCTCCCAAACACGAGCGTAAAGGACAATTGGAACTTCCGTGCACATAGGACGTTAGGATCCCCAGTGGATGAAGTGTGAATGGCCGGGCTGAGAAATGAATGGATTTGAGGAGTAGAAGTCTTCTCCAGCAAAGGAGAATTATCCAACAGATTTGAGGGTTCAGAAGTCGACGAACCAACAGGAGAATAAGCACAAGAATCGATTGGATATACAACAACTGTCGAAGGAGAAGGCAACGGAGCCAAAGGTGGTGGGAACGAATGATTTGGGTCTTGAATTCCCGAAGAAAAAACAACAGAAGGAATTAGGGATGTCGGTGTTGGGTTAGATAGGGGAGAAACCCAATTGAAGGTTGGAGAAGGAACCTGGTGGTCGGCGATCAAGGCAGGTTGCCCGGAGACGGTGGAAGAAGGAACCCACACATGAGGATCCAGAATCAACGACCGGCGTGGTGGCAGACTGAACTGCTGTAGATCGGCAAACTGATTGGGAGTCGCGTGCCATGGAGAACAAACCGTAGAATCTTCTCGTCGTTGCTCCAACGAATCAGTAAGAGCATCAATGGAGGCCTTCGTCGAAGCCGCAAGAGCAGCAATGGCGGCCTTCAGATCCCGGTGCCGTGAGTTAATCTGCTGCTTGATGGCCGCCATTTGAGTTTCCAAAACAAGGATTCGTGTGGTGTTGGTAGCCATTGCCAGATTATAGGCTCTGATACCACTTGTAAGGCCCTGGGTAGAGTAATCTGGCAAAATGGAGTTTATTGAGGAGGAAGAAGAAGGAATTACATATGAGGAAAGGTGGCGTGCTATTACAGCTATCTCTATCTAAGAATTGGTAAAGTAGTTACAGCTTGATTGGTCAAAGATAGATGATTACAGAGAGATCTCCTTCCTTTTATACTTGACTTCACTTTACACGTCACTCTGCCAGCTATCGCCGGGTTGTTACACTTGCTATAGTACCGGTTTTGGTTTTTGGGTTGAACCGGTCTGGTTGGATCAAAGTTTGACTAGATTGACTTTGTTGACTTGTGTGAGCAAAGATTGACTTTGACTTGGGCATGATTTCTTTTATTGTACAGTGTAATGCAATAGCAATTTAGCAACCTAATTAATTGTAATTAACATTGCATTTATCTTGAAGAGATTGTTATGACTTCGTTTTATTGTTTAGAAATTTAGACCCAATCTCACTAGACTCAACGTCTTACAAAATAATCATCTTGCACGACAAACAAAAATCATATTCATGTCTAACACGTTAATTCTATCAAATTGTACCAAGCAAGATTTGCTATTGCTAATCTCAGTCGAGGCTAAGTGACCGACCTATCCCAAACACTATAAATATGTTTTTGGCTAGAAATTTTCTATTGCAAATCTCAAACAAAAACTAAATTTTATTTTGTTAAATATGTTTTTAACCCGGACAAAAATTGGTGTCTACAGTGGGTTTTAGCGAATATGGTTGGATTTGCATATTCGGGATCTAGGGTTTAGGGAAAAGAATGAATTCTTACAGATAATGTCATTACTCATAAATCAATGATTTTAATTAAAAAAATTGTAAAATGAAGTCTTGCTTTCGGTCTCACATCCACTGCTTGCGATTTTTATTAGACTAGGGTTGATTTTCAAAAATAGTTATGGGTTTGTAAAATCTTCAATTTAATTTTGTGTGGGTGATTTTCGTTGGGTATGGATTTAGATTGATCCATGGACTTCTAAAAGTGGGTATTGGAAAAAAAACTGTACTATTTGGTTGTACTTTAATTTTCAGATATATATGTATGGCTACGAATGAGTGGAATCTAAACTCGGAAGAAAATTGAAACAAAACATTCAACTCCACTCATAGTTAAGTTAATCAGCATAATAGTAATAGAATAGACAAAGCTGGTAATACGAGAGAGAAAACTTCAATGAACGAGCTTAATCTAACTGATATGACCAGATCTCGGTAGACGGGGTGCTTGAATCTAAAGAGGCTTGTAAAGTAAGCGAAATGATTAAGTGTAAATCGGCAAGTAGACGTATAAAACTGTATGGTGATAAATTAATGAGACCAGTTCTCATTTAGAAGGTGGAAGAATATAAGCACCAACCTGATTGGACAACTTGCTTCTTCTGCTTCAATCTTACAAATCTGCTGCATCGATCTCACAAATCTCCCCACTGAACTTTCGGCTATGATCAAGAATTGAAAAAGAAAGTTTGAATTTTAAATTCTATTTATGTAGAGTATTTTTGCTGCTTACTCCCCTCCGTCCTCCTCAAGAAACAGCTCCAGGAGCTCATTTAAAGCAAGCTAAATCGCCACGTGTCACTTTCTGATTCGAGCATTTCTTTATTCTGACTTTGAAAAGTGTGCCCTCCTGCTGAGGTCAGCTAGATAAGATATGGTCAGACCGAATCGGTCTTGGTCAGTTATGGTTGACTTTTGTTGGGCCGAGTTGGGCCCGATTTGGTTTCTTCACATCTGGGCCCAAACTATGGGCAAGAATTAGCCTACCTTGAACTATGGACCGGACTTTGAATCCGAGTTTGGGATTTGATTTGACTGGTTTTCTCTTCTTTCAGGTTCATGCGTATGGACCCAAGTGATGGAGATCTTTAAAAACAATTTTACTGCTTTCTTTGTAAACACATAGTCTTGTATACTTGTATTATATAGTTATAATTGTGATTTATTCGCAAATCCGGAGCATGTATGCGATGTAGAGAGGTTAGACTAAAAAATGTATTCTGATCGATCATATCCAACCTCATTGTACTCAATTCCAAATGTCAAAACCTTGATTAGTCCTAAACATTGTGTAAATAAACAATGGTATTTATTGACTTGCAACTGCTAGGCTCAACCAAATTATTCTGAAAATATAATTGTAGTGCGATGTACAATGAATTCTTTTTTCATCAATCGAACTATTATCACGGACGAAATGTGGTGTCTACACACCTAAGTAGGTATTATTTATCTTCTTAATATTAGATGTTTCCATGCCATTTTGAGCGTTAAAAATACATTTGAATTTGATATAGAGTGCGTTGCTTCCTTGTTGTTACATCCCGCTCTTTCCAAAAGTCAAAATGACTATTATACCCTTGGGCCAAGTTTCACCGTAATGTCGAGGAGGACTTAAAATGTGAACTATCGGTTCGAGCGGTGTCGAATTTTGACATAAAATGAACAAGTTACGGACGTTAACTGGGTTTCGGATTAACCTCACCCGATATCTTAATAATCGAGAAATTCCCAAAGTAACATGTGAACCAATTAAACCCTAAGCTAAACGTGTACCATATATACCTAATGGAGCATCAAACCCCATCAGCCTTTCTCCTCCCTGTCACAGCCGGAAAAGAAATAAAAAAAAATAAAACCCCATGCCCCTATCGATTGCCAGTCGTGTACTACGGAGAGGTTGTCTATGGAGGTTATTGTGAAGGACCTGCTACTCCGTCGATGATGCCAGAAATCAGCCGCTTGCAATCGATTTGTGATAGGGAGAGAGAGAGGGAGGAAGTAGGCTCGAATTGTTGGGGCAGAACTCGAGAAGGGGATGGGACCACCGCTAACTAGGAGCAATCCGGAGAAGTAGAGGTGGCAATTTCAATCCAATCCACCAATCCAATCCATTTAAATCCAATCCATTTTATCCAAATCCAATTGGATTGGTGGATTCATGGATTGGATCCATGGATCATTGGCAAATTACGGTTTAGTACCTATAATTTTTATTTTTTACATTTTGGTACCTAAAATTTAATTTTTTATACGAAAATATCATTGGAAAATTACGTTATGGTACCTAAAATTTTTCATTATGACATTTTAGTACCTAAACCTTTTACATTTTACATATTGGTCCTTGGTTGAGGATGTCATTTGGATTCATGAATAATCCACCAATCCACTTGATCCAATCCATTAATCCACCAATCCATTAGATCCAATCCATTTGATCCATGGATCCACCAATCCAATCCACCAATCCACCAATCCAATCCATTTGCCACCTCTACGGAGAGGTACGGTGAGCTAAAATTGAAAAGGGACATGTTGTCAAAGAGCTCAATGGGCAATAAAGCTTCTGCCTCTCTCAATTCCCTGTCAGGCGAGATTCTTCTCTTCTTGTATTGTGTATATAAATGGGAAGTTGGGACATCAAAATCCCCTCCACAGTAAGTCCCACTACTCCGCAAGCTCACGAGACACAGGAGCGATGGTTGAGGCGATCTATGTAAGCAAGGTCGGGGTCAAGTTTGGAGCTCATTGGAGGAGTCACCGGGAAGTGGCGCCGACAAACCCGACCTTGAAAACGGCGGCGAAATTCCAAGTGGTGGGTACCATCGCGTAGAGGACGATCTCTGGATCGTTGCGGTGTTGACGGTATCATATTTCGACATCGGACGAGGGAGAAACGAGCATCGAAAGGTTGGAGTGAAAGTCGGACAAATTCAGGTACTGTTTGTGACAATTCGAAAAGTTTATGGACCACAATTGTAATTTTCCTCAGAAGTCCGAGTCAATGGTGTTGGCTAAATAATTGCAGTCTCGGTACCTGGAACTTTGAAAAATTGACAGAATGTTTATTTTGGTCATAACTCGATCAATTGACGTCCAAACGAGTAACCGTTTGCACCGATGGAATGGTGGGAACCAGGAAAATTGAATGGGAGCAAGTTGTGGAATTTTCAGATAAGAATCAGAGTCGAGTTTGACGAATTCGACCGACGAACCCGACCTTGAAAATGTCGGCGAAATTCCAAGTGGTGGGTACCATCGCGTAGAGGACGATATCTGGATCGTTGTGGTGTTGACGGTATCATATTTTGACATCGGACGAGGGAGAAACGAGCATCGAAAGGTTGGAGTGAAAGTCGGACAAATCTAGGTACTGTTTGTGACGATTTGAAAAGTTTATGGACCACAATTGTAATTTTCCTCAGAAGTCCGAGTCAATGGTGTTGGGTGAATAATTGCAGTCTCGGTACCTGGAACTTTGAAAAATTGACAGAATGTTTATTTTGGTCATAACTCGATCAATTGACGTCCAAACGAGGAACCGTTTGCACCGATGGAATCGTGGGAACGAGGAAAATTGAATGGGAGCAAGTTTTGTGATTTTCAGATAAGAATCAGAGTCGAGTGCGACGAATTCGAGGTGAGTGTAAAGGGGGTGAATTTTACGCCTTACGGTTTTTTCAAGTATTTGCTTTGAGTAATTTTAAGTATTGATTTACGTTATGTGCGTGCAGTATTTGATTCATGTTTGATATTGCATGATTATGTTTGATGATATGTGCGATGGTTGAGCTATGAATTGAAGTGAATTGTGGATGAGTTTATTTCTTACTTGAAGCTTGATGTCTATGAGTTAGTATTAAATTTTAAGAACAAGTACTTTTAAGAAGTAACTCACCTTTAAAAAGGTGAAGTCGTTTTAAGTGTTTTTAGTCACTAGTGCCAGTCGTTGCCATTTGAGATTTTCAGATAGAGCAGCAGGGCCTAAGTTCAGGTCCTTAAACCACATTTTTTAAGGAGAATCTTAAAATAATTCTATTGGTTGTTGGAGTTTTAGGTAGTTATGAGGGAGTTATTGGTTAATTAGTTAATAAGGGTATTTTTAGAATTTGCGCTTAGTATTAAAACTATAATAATTAACCTATTATCAAATATTAAACCAGGTACTATTCCCTTAATCCTCAAACTCCTCCGTCCGTCGTCGCTTTGTCTTCCGCGTTGCTTCGTTCCCTCCCCGCTCCCGTCGTCGTCGGCCCGCTACAGCGGTGGGCAAAGGGGGAGGAGCCTACGTGGCTGGCTTCACGATGTCGTTCCATGGTCCGGTCGACATGAAGGCACGCGGCTACCAGATGGTGTTCGGCGCCGTTGACATCGGGCTGTTCCGGAAGGCCTCCGTGATGAGCTTGACTCAGGGCTCCGATGAGGAGGTCGGCGATGGTAAAGACGCTGATGAAAAGTACTGGAGTGGGCTCAATCGAACACGCGTAGATTTGTTTCTGCAACAACAATTTTTTGTTTCAGTCTGATTTCTGTAAGTTCCATTGTCAAGAACATTCCATTCCAAGAAATCCTTGATCTTAACAGATTTCTCTTTGGAATGCTTAAGCTTTTTGCTTGTTGGAATTTTGAGCTCTGTGTGTATGGATGGTCACATTGAGAGTGTGTATTATTTCATTTTACTACATTGATTAGTATTATAAAACCATTAATAATGATAGGTATATCATTAGAATTCAATTTATAAACGTTAATAATGTAATTAGAAGTAGTTGTAAGAGGCCATGATTAGTTAGTTAAGAACCTGACGTGATAACGTGAACCGTTAATAAGGATGTTGTAAATCAATAATAGTGTTATTCAAATCATTAATGATAAAGTTACATAACTATAATAATTCATTTATAAGTGCTGATGAGAAAATGTAAATCGTTCAAAAATCAATATAAAATTGTTAATGATCTTAAAGCATTGATTAATTTTGTGCAATTCCTCAGAAATTTTTTATTTTAGTTTCGAACAAAATACAACATTGTTTTAAATATTTTTGTGCTTGTTTTCAATGAAATAAAATTTTGTTATCAATGATTTGATCTCTCGATATTAAATATTGAATCATAGGTGCACTATATCACAAGTATTGAAGTTCTCAAAAATAAGCATTGTGTTTTATGATCACTTAGAACGATAATGTAAAGCGATATCACTAGATCAAATCATTATCAATTTTTTGAATGCATAGGTGCACTATGCCAATATATTTTGCTTTCCATTTGAACATTTTACAACAACGTTGTTAACGTTTTATATAGGTAGTGTTAATGACTAGCTATATGATTACTGACGGGTGGGTATATATCAATATTTGAGAAATAATTATTAATAATATGTAGTATGATTAACAATCATTAGATATGATCATTATCAATGATTTTGTTTGATTTTTGAATGAAACACAACTTAGCTATCAATAGTTTTTAAATTGTTATCAATGTTTTGAGAAGAGAATTATTAATACTATGTAGTATGATTAACCACCATCAGATATGATCATTATCAATAATTTTATTTTTTATACATAAGCGTATCAATAGTTGAGAAAGAATTATTAATAATGTGTAGTATGATTAATGACCATTAGATACGATCATTATCAATTATTTTGCTTGCTTTTTAAATGAAACGTAAGTTAGGTATTAAGAGTTTTATATTTTTATTAATATTTTGAGAAGAGAATTATTTATAATATATACAATGGTATTACTCATTTAGATGCAATCATTATCAATGATTTTGCTTGTATTTTCAACGCCAACACAACTTAGTTATTAATGATTAAGAGTGGCATTTCAATATTTCGATGTAAACATTTATAATATTAAAAAATTGATAAATATATTGCAATCATTAATAATGATGAGTATATCAATAATAATTAATAATACATTTCATAAATTTTAATAATACCATTGCATATTAGTAATGATATTGTAAGCCGCTATAGAAAGAGAAAGTAAACATTTTATTTTAAAATTCATTTTAAAAAACATTAAATATCAATTTCGAATTTGTAATTGTAATTTTCATATTAAATAGTTTTGGAATTTAGGAGAGAGATGGGTTTCCTTTAATTAATAATAAAATTAATTAGTAATTATATTCCATTTCTTTCCTTGTAGGTAGTTAGCCAATGATTAATAATGATTATCTCTCTCCTCCTCCTATTGGCTGGAATGGTTTTAAGATCCTCCTTAAGGAATGTGGCTTAAGGACTGGATCCAACCCGGAGCTGCAGTTATTCTCTTGAGACTTTTAAGATGAGCAGCAGTTATGCTCTTGAGAATCGCGGTGAAGAGCCACCACGATAAGTTTAAGATGTTAGGGGGATGAATTGTTACGACTTCCCTAACTAAGTTTAAGTTTAAGGAAAGCCTTGATGGCTTCTCATACGTATGAGTTGGCAACCGGGCTAGCTAGTGAGGGATCCCAGTGTTGGTCAAGTATTTAAGTCAAGCTTTGAGATTTAAGAATGGAGTAACAGTAACTCTCATACAGTTTTAAGAGTTAAGTTTTTAATAGTGGGAGTACAAAACAATTTCCACTCAGTTAAGAGATGTGATCAAATATTAATAAGATGTTAAACGTAAGGGCGTAGACTGACCCCATCTCACTCACTAGTTGAAGAGGAAGAAGCTAGAGGAGCAGTTAGTGAGCAGCGAGATCGAGAAAGCTGTTCGAGGCAAGCCAGCTAGAGGAGGGCAGTATAAGCGTCACAGGGGATGCTTAGTCAAGGTTTCAGTAGCAACACCATTAGAGATTATTAGTTATTTACATTTACGATTATGAGTATAGACTGGAGATCAGTTTGAGATTTTAAAGTTTGAGTTTAATTTGCCCACGTGTTAGGGCTTTGTTCTGAGCTACAAGTGTGTGTTTTTCAGTATTTTATTTATGAAAATCTTTCCCGCTGCAATTTAAGATTTGAGTATTTTATTTATCAAGTGCATTTTAGTAAAAGTAGTACCCGGCCGGGTTAGGGTGTTTCACTTGTATTGGTTTGTGATCTATTATGTCGCAACATGAATTTTGAACAATCATGACGAAGATCAAGGGCTTAAGTGTAGGAAAAGAGTCTCATCCTAGATCACGTGTGAGGGAAGAAAAACACAACCGGGAAGTGACCAGGTCGTAATCATGTCGCGAGCTATGCACAAGATGCATTCGGAATCTCATATCCTTAGGCCGCAATCTCGAAGAGGCAGCAAGTAAAGATCCACAAATGGAGTCGCTGGTGGAGTCACATTTCCTCACTCCAAGACATCAACTTCCCAATCGCAACCGTGAACTCCAGCCCACGATCTCCATCCAAAGCAGCCAAAGGTGATACCATTTTGATATCACACTCTAGAACTCAAGATCACGACCACAAACTTCCCACAGTTGCCCATGATTTTCTCCGTGTTTCTAAAAATCTATAAATAGGAAGTACTCCAATTGATGAATAGACTTGTTGGAAACTAAGAAACCCTAGAGTGAGATAAGGGAGAAGTGGATTGTCAAGTGGAGTGGAGGAGAAGAAGGAGGAAGCTTGAAGGAAGATTTCCTTGCCAATTGGAGGTCTTTGGGTCATGGTTACTTATATCTTTGTTTTGTTCTCCTTCCCCTTTTATGGGGTAGTCTTATAGATAATTGGCGTTTTTATCTCCCAAACCCTAACTTTGGGGTTAGCATATAATTGATTGTAGGGCTGGTAATCGGTTGGTATCCGGTATACCGGATACCGATTACCCGGTATTTGGTATACCGGAAATATACAGTGTACCCACCGAATACCGATACCGAATGTTAACCGGTATACCGAATACCGAATAGTCGGTATCCGGTATTAATACCAGTATACCGAATACCGGAAAATGGGAATCATCACCTGACGAGAAGAGAAGAGGAAGACATGGGCTTGTTGAAGGGGAACATGTGTTGGCGGATCGATGGCTCGACGAATAGGAAGTGGCGTATCCAAGCGGGGCGACGATCGCTGAGAAGACGACGCTCAAGGCGGCGACGGAGTTGACCTTGTCGCCTGATCGTCCATGGGATCACACGCCGCTGGGACAGAAACTGCTAAATGTTGTGTACCAGATTCCATTAACTACTAAATGTTCTAGTTCCCCATCATTTAACTATAAAATGGAACTCTATTTCTATACGAAACTTCAAGGGAATAAAGAACTGTACCTTGTTCAGCCAGAAGATCATCCACCTCCTTAGCAATCTATAGTATCAACCAACAAATACATAAATTTAGTCAGAGTTCATCCCCGTAATAAACAGGCATCAAAACAAATTCTGAAAGGAACCCATCTCAAAACACTCTTCAATACCATTAAAGTGTTCATATTGCTTATTGCCAAGACCGGACACTCCATAATTCATCTTGAGCCATTCTCCTCTGGCCTCTTTACCCTGTTGCATGAAGTCTGTCAATTTAAATTCCACCCATAGACTGAATTCAATGGCCGATTTCACTCAACCCAGCTGAAATTTTACCTCAATAAACCACTTGTAAAACCTTGCTGCATTATCAGTAGGCCTGTCGGTTCAGGTCGGGTCGGGTAACCGAACCCGAAACCCGTGAAAACCAAAAAAAACCGAAACCGCTCCCACACAACCCAAAACCGAACCGCACTGCACTTTTGTGGGTTTCGGGTACTCTTCTGAATAATCAACTAATTCAGAAAATCACAGCTTCCTTCCTTCCTTCCCTTCGATCCGCCATATCTGCGTTTCCCTTCTCCTCCCCCCATCGTCGTTCCAGATCCAGTTCGGCGGCCATGGCAAGGGCGTCTCTCGCTCGCGGACTCCTATGGATCTCCGTCCTCGCTTCCGTCTTCTCCCTCCCCGCTCGCTCCTTCTACCTCCCCGGCGTCGCCCCCGAGGATTTCCACACGGTAATTTCAATCCCCCTCCTTCTTGTGGATCTCGTCCAATCTCCCTCCGGCCGTTTTCCGGTTAAGGATTATCAATCTCCGTCATCGTTTTCCTGCAGAATTCGCTGAATTCCGATGGATTGCAGATTAGTTTGGAGTAACTAATGTGAATTGTGTTGCTGTGTTGAATTCGCGGAACTGAATCGTTTAGAGAGCAGTGGATTTCGTTATGCATGTGAGATTATGAGCTAGTAGGCTTGGAATTGTAGCTTATGCTTACTGTAGAGCTCTGCTTTTATACTGTCTTCGTGAATCCCAGGGGGATGAATTGAAGGTGAAAGTAAACAAATTGACTTCCACGAAGACGCAGCTTCCGTACTCGTTTTATTCCCTCCCAACATGTCCTCCTCCTCCCTCCGCAAGAAGTCGGACCTCACGCTCGTCTCCAAAGTGCAGTGCGGCCTGCTCCGCTCCGAAGATGCGCAGAGGAGCTTCGGTTTTCGGGTTCCCTGTTGGTTTTCGGGTTTAGGTGAACCGAAACCGGATGTGACTTTCTCGGGTTGAAACCACAAACCCGAAACCGAAGACACTTACTACCGGTT